GATCGATGTATCGCAAAGCACGCCGTCGAGGTTCTCGCTAGTCGCACCGAACTGGAAACAAGGGCCGAGGCTCAAGAGCAAGCTCAGAAACAATGAAAACGAAACAAGGAAAAGAGCCAGACAAACAAAGAAATGCCGAGGAGCGTTCTCGTTTCTTCGAGAGCTCGTTTTTTGCAGCGTTTTAATGAAATAAATGGCGCATTAATGTTATTACGGGTGAGGAGACTCGATTTTTCTCCCTCCCCCTCCCCCCTCCTACTGCACCGCGAAGGATCCGGGCCCTTTACCGAGGCAATTTCTGAGCTCTCTTGTCTTGGAGTGTCATTTCGAGTTAATCTGAAGATTTAATTTGAATCATAAACATTTTCCCAAAATCGTTTTCACTGCAGGCGCGGTGTGGGATCGCATAAATATTTATCCTCCGTGGCTTTTTTCGCTTCAGACATGAATATGATGCCAAGAATTGAATTAGTGAATATAAAGTAGGTTGGCTCCTTTTCGTGGAGAGGTAGGTGCGGAGGGATGTCTGAATAATCTGTGTTTAAAATTTGCGGTTCCGACTTTCTAGTTTTCGAGGTATCTTTCCTCGGAGAACAAGGAAAATATTGAGTTATGACGTTGATTACTTGAATAATTAGATTATTCTTAAATTACCCTTGATATTTTGTAGGAGGAGTCTGAACAATCTTAGGAACAACAATAGTTAAAACTTTACGAGATCGAAATTATGAAAATTTTCCCCAGCTACAGGAATTCACCGGCTGAAACCTGATTATTATGCAAGTTATTCCTTTAAAATAAAGCATACTCCTCACTTACAGATAAATATAGTACAGCAGTAATATTTCAAACACATTATTACATTGATCCGGGCGAACTTCCGGAGATGAGTTGACAAATAATCAGAACAGGTGAAGAATTGGACTTGCGTTAAACCGTTTGGCCTCGTCAAGAGACGGAGCCAGTGAGAAAAAGTGGAAAGTACGTGAATCACAATGAAACTCGACAGCATGCAACAATTGCACCCGTTCAACGGAATACGACGTGATGTGGGCACTAATTATTCGATCAGATCTAACACATATGGACGTTTACTGTTGGTCCAAGAAATGAAGCATTGAGAGAAACAATGGGCCTGTTGCAAACTTTTGCTAGAGCAAAAATAAGAGTTGTTTCTTGTAGATAATGCCTCAAAAATCACGATGAGCGCATCGGCAAAGTCTGAAATGCACTCATAACTTCACAATCTGCGTAAGAAATTTGCGTTTTTTTAAGCTTCCCGCTTCAAAAACGATACTACGGCGTAGGTGAACATTTTGTTAGAGGAGTCGCTCCATCGTCGGCGATATTCATCATGGCCGACGCTTGCACGCAGTTCCGCGCGTAATTCAAGGAGAGTTCAAGGTCAATCCATTCGGGCGTGGAAAATATGAACGTTAACACACCGATTGTTATCTGGTCTAATCCAGTTCAGGTGTTATCTCGTCCCATCAAACGTGTTTTGGCGGATTGGCGTCGGCTATGATGTTTATTGCCGACAATGGAACGACTCCTCTTACAAAATGTTCACCTGTGCCGTAGTATCGTTTTTGAAGCGGGAAGCTCAAAAAACCGCAAATTTCTTACGCAGATTGTGAAGTTATGAGTGCATTTCAGAGTTTGCCGATGCGCTCATCGTGATTTTTGAGGCATTATCTATAAGAAACAACTCTTAGTTTTGCTCTAGCAAAAGTTTGCAACGGGCCCATTATGCCGACGAATCGCTTTCTCATTAGTATACTGATGTTAATCTGCGTGATGTAAATCTGTAAAAGGGCCGTTAATTTCTTGGCTTTATGCCAGTATTGCGGATCTCTTCCACCCATGTTTATTCCTTTATTTACATGAGAATTTATACTTTTGGAGCCAAAGTTGTAATACAAATGACATTTTCCCACTTCATCCAAGATTTTAATTGCTCTTGAAAAATTATCTTCCGAAAAGCCCGAGATTCATGGTATGCAAAGTAATCAAGTTGACTGCCAATACATGCTTTTAAAATACAGGACACATCTACGGACAATAAGGACACATTTCTCGGAATAATTTATTTATTACATAGGGTTTTAGTAAAATATACACTTAGAAAAAGTTTGACACCAAAGACTTCACCTTAGATTTTCGCTGATATGATCTTAATTTTCGGATGTGAATGTTATTCTTCGGCTATTCGACTATCCTGGATTACAAAACTGCTTGACAATTTCAGAAACACCCGATCGTGCCTGAATCTTTTACTCATCAAATGAGAACGAATGGACCGTTGTGCTGCAGAAGAGTGTCATACGAGCACTGAAATGTCGTCATATTTCCTCGAATAAAAATAAATCCTCGGGAATATTTAAATACATCCGTTCCAACTTTACTTTTACTCTCGTAGAAATTGCGGGAAAAATTTCAATGAATTAAGAAAAAAAATTGATTTCCTGCGAGGAGAAACGACAAAGATCGATTATTCTCAAGGCGTTTTCCTTGAGCAAATAGCGCAGGAGTGTACAGGAATTCACCTGCTTATTCTGCCGTGCTAACGGAAAACGCCATATGAATCTTCAGGCGTTGCCAAATTACCTCCTATAAAAACCGAAATTACTGGGAAAATTGTGAATATTTTTTTCCAAAATTTTCAGACAATTTTGTGCGCGATTTTATCTAAAATATCTGAAAATTTCAAAGAAAAATCTCTATGAATTCGTTGAAAATACATGTTTCATCAAGGGAAATTTGGCAACTCTCAAATGTTCATACGGCGTTCTTCCTTAGCACGGCAGAATTGTGGGGCTGGTGAACGTCGGAGACACCCTGTACGCGCGGCGCCTATAAATGTTAGGGGGTGCCGAACACGTGCAAAGGCTTGCAACTACACGCTTAATAAATAGCTTCCGGTGCACACTTCCCAGAATTAATGTTCCTTGGAGAAGGCAGCGCGGCGCGCTTTTAGAGGCCTCGATATTGAATGTCAGTGAATCTGACGCTGAGCGAGAGAGAAACGCCGAGGTAATTACCAACGTAAAACGCGTAATTAATGTTTGATATTGAAATTTCAGCTGCTCAAGTGCATTGGGGCCCTCAGTCGTTACAGCCCCCGCCCCCTTCCCCCTCCACAACACCTCCGTTTTCGCGCACAATGCACGAGCGGTTTACTGCTCTGCCGTTCTTGGCGAGAACCGCGTATCGACGTGGACGTTCCGTCGAAGGTGCGTGTTTTTAGTTTGGCAGGGCAGTGCTGAGGTTTGGGCCTTGTTATTTGCCCACGCTCCAATAAGGGTTGACACAGGGATCGCTGGCCCATTATACAGCCTACCCTTATCTCCGCTGCCGGCCGGTGGTGCATCACAAGGGTCAAGGTCGCCTCCCCCCCCCCCCCCCCCCCCNTTTAAGGGGGTTATTTTGTTCTCCCTGGAAATCGTGACCTTTCGCTGAAATAATAAATTGATGTGTGGCTCAAAACGTTTATCAAGTAAATTATCAACTTTTGAGGTTAATGTTTTCATAACCCTGGGAATCTTTTTGCTCCATTCCAGCGTTTTTTTAAATCAGATTCCAGTTTTCACTGGGAAGAATTTGATGTGCAAAATCGTAAAAATACATTTTAATTTGTACACACTTTTCTTGTCATAATCCGTTCTTGAAACTAATGTTGGAATACCAACTTCACTCCAAAAGTGTTATATTTTAGAACTAAAGGAACAGAGAAAACGGTAGAAAAACTTCTTCTGTTTTCTCCCTTTAGCCACTGTTTGATCCTGCCAGTTATTGTTTGTTATTCTCTTCGTTTAAAATTAGTAAAACCAAGCTGAAAAATTACTTCAACAACCATATTATGCGAATTTCGGTATACTTTTTCCTCATCTTCATCAAGTGTTTCAGAAAAATTCTTACGGATTTTTCACAATTGAATCGGTCAGTTACATAAGGGCTCAAGCGCCAGATATAAAAATACGAAGAAAACAGTAGAAACTGTATGGACCGACCCGTTTTAAACTGCAGATTAATTAATAATGTGACTGACTACTTCATCGCTTTATTATTTTAGAGCTCTGAGATTTGAGAGGAGCCAATTAAAACAGTTATTACCATTTTTCTCGAATTCTAATTTTTGGCGCTTGAGCCTTTCTGCAAATGACTGATTCGATTATGATCTCCGTGATACACTCTCGATCCAATATGATTAATAAACGACACCAATGGTGATCTACGAGAGTCGTCTAGAACGTCAGTTTACTCCCTCAAATGTACAATCCATAATTTGTACCCCTTAAAAATTATGATCTGAATACGTCTTATACTTTCTAGCACCAAAAATGTTTAAAAAAAAACACACTAAAAACGTGGCCTAAATTGCAAGTAACAATTGGACTGCATTTTGCAATTTGGAACTATAAGTTCTGGCTCTTCTGGAAAAACACTTATGTGCATAGGGAAACTAACGGCACATACGTTGTTTTTAAACCGGGCTAGAACTTATAGTTCTTAATTGCAAAATGTAGTCGAATTGTAACAAGGTGGTAGGTTATAGTATAGTGCTAGGTTCACACTATTTTGCGGGGAGGATAAGACCAAAAAAAAATTCAAAAATTCATTAGAACTCCAAATTTTTACTCTGATAGAAATTTTCGAACGTTTTACCTACACAAGATCAGCCTCAAAGTCATGAATTTCTTTTGAAACACCCACCGCGAAATAATTAGGACACAGCACTATTTTACCACCTTGCTTATTCATACCTCTAGACATAATATGTATGATGAGATACATTTTCGTAGCCCGAATATTACATACAAGAAACACTCAATAGGTACAGGCTTAAGGCTAAAAACAAGCCTGCATTTGTTTTTAGCCTTGAGCCTGTACCTATTTTGTGTTTCTTGTGTGTACATAATATGTATGTATAGTTACGAAAAGTATCATCAGTTCCTCCCCGTATATATGGTCATTAATTACCCTTCAACAATCTGTTTCAGATCCGTGCGTGAATCGCAGCTGATCAACTTGTGGTGACGCCTGTGGAATACCTTAGAGCAGATCGGCTGGACTTCGTATGAGTTATTGGACTTCAAGTCCCGAAGACGCACCGCCATCAAAGAAAAGGAAACCGAGAGAGAGAGGTAAAATGGCGAGCTCCAGAGGAAAGAAAACCAATCACGTCAACTCGAATTGAATGCTGTACTCTCCAGTGGAATCTTGGCGAGCGATAATTTCGACGGACCGCGAAAACCACAACAGGGAAGCGGCCGCCCGGTGCGTCCGGCCCGCCGGGTGAAAACCGCGCAAGTCCAGTGGAAACCCCGCGAAAATCCGCGCTTTTAGCCGAGCACGTAGCGATTCGCGACGACTGGACCATTCACCTAGATTTCAACTCAATCCTCGTTGATACGTGCTCCGCATTTTCACCGCCGGAGCTGAATATTTATTTTCCGGGCGTTGTCTCTCATTATGCAATCAGGACATTAAGCCGGACCTTAATTCCGCGAGCTGCGTCCTAGCGCCCGGACCCGCGTTTAAATTTCGCATGAGAATTAGCGTCCAGGAAGCTCCCCCGCTCGCAAAAAACCCGGGCGCCCCGGTCAGAAGGTCCACCCTTGATTCGATTGCATGTCATTTGCTACGCTCCACCGTGAAAGCTCCGCGGATCACGCGGGAAAGCGCCCAAGACCGGTTTTATCGATTGTTCTGTCCATCGCTCATGTTTGTCATGCCTAAAATTTCGCGTGCCCCAACTTTGTTTGCGTTGACGTTCAAATAACCCCGGTGGGAAAATCCGCATTATTCCCAACAGAAGACGTGACCTACCCGTGTAAAGTGGCTCTAAATAAGCTATGCTCAACAACCTCGAAATGTCCTTATCCTCTCTTTTGTACTTTTTCGAATGTCGCGTGAATCTCTCTGCTGCCGCGTAATTGAGCCTGTGCGAATGTAGCAAATGAAAAAATTACCCGCCGAAATGGCAACGTTAATAATAAAATTACTACGGGAAATTTACTTCCAAAGAGGAAGGAGGATCTCGGGAAGGTAGCTTCAAATATGAGAAAGGGATGCGAGATTCCGTGCGAGAGAACAGCTCGTTCGCGGCGATTTGGAAATCGTTTTTGTTCGTCCAATTTTCTACACAGTGCGGTGCTCGTTACAAGTCGGGAGTGTTGACGAAGATGATGCTTCGAAACCTCGGTAAACAACCGGGTTGACGTTCAAAAGCGGGCCTCGAAAAGTTCAACCGCGACGTGAAATGTTCGTTTTTCACGATAAATAGCGACCGGTTCGATCAAGGCCGAAAAAAAGCTTCCTTCATTCTTCCTTGTGTCGTCAGGACTTACGACTGGGACCGGCGAAGTGTCCGTTCTTCACGCTAGATGGTGCTTGGTTGAGGCTATCCCGGTTCCTTCTTCGCCGCGAAAATCCGACTACAACGCGTGAAGTGTTCGTTTTTCATGTTCGATAACATTCGTGTAACGCTATAAAGAGAATCGATTTTTACGCGATAGTGTTGTGCTCTGAATCACGCATACGACAGGTGAAGTGTCCGCTTTTCCCGTTGGATGGCGCTCGGTTGACGGGGCCCTGGGAACCGGTTCTTTTCTCCAACGCGAGGATGGTGTCGTACGACAGGTGAAGTGTCCGCTTTTCCCGTTGGATGGCGCTCAATTGAAGGGCCCTCCCGAACCGGTTCCTTTCTGCATCGCGAAGGTGTGATACGACAGGCTAAGTCTCGGTTGAAGGGACCTTCCGAACCGGTTCCTTCCTGCATCGCGAAGGTGTGATACGACAGGTTAAGTCTCGGTTGAAGGGACCTTCCGAAACGGTTCCTTTCTGCATCGCGAAGGTGTGATACGACAAGTTATACGCTTTTCCCGTTGGATGGCGCTCGGTTGAAGGGACCGCGCGAACCGGTTCTTTTCCTCATCGCGAAGATGGTGTGGCTCTGACTCACGATGCGATGGTCCTCATCCGAGCGCTCGCTTCTTTCTGTTCTCCCCTCGCAGAGGCTGAGCGTGAGCTTCAACGGCACCTTCTTCGGCAACGGGAGTGACGACAGCGACTTCTGGAACGGGAGTGCGTGGAACCGGTCTCGCGCCGAAACCGAGCCCGAGCTCGAGGGGGCGGAAAGCGCGGGGGACAACTGGTGGGGGTTGCTCGCCGTCATGCTCGTCGTCGCCACGGCCGCCGGCAATATCCTCGTCTGCCTGGCCATCAGTTGGGAACGTCGGCTCCAGAACGTCACTAATTACTTCCTGATGTCCCTGGCCATAACCGATTTGATGGTCGCCGTCCTCGTCATGCCGCTGGGCATTCTCAACTTGGTCCGCGGTAAGTTCCGCCTCATCATTCTTCCTGTCCACTTTTGATATGCCGCGACGCTAATGTCATGTTGCTCGATAAACTATTTTTTCTACGTCTGTTACACACTGGAATAAAAAAAGCATTGGATCTAGAGTTCAGACTCTTAAAAACATCGACAAGAAAAACTACTCTTGATTCAATCGGATTTGAGCTTAAATCAAGAACCAAGCCTCTTAATTCGAGAGGATTTCCTTGTGATTCAAGCAAAAATCCGATTGAATCAAGAGTATTTTGTCTTGTCGATGTTTTCAAGAGTCTGGAGTCTAGATCCGATGTTTTGTTTTTCCAGCGCATGAAATGGACCGCATTTCCCAGAAAGGAACCACGCCACATTGGCCGTTGTCAAATTTAACTGGGCTATTTAATTTTTTACGTGAAAACGGTCATGCGGATTTTTGTGCAAATACAGTGAATTTTGTGCACAGTACAAAGGAAATTCCTTAAAATTTTCAAAGAAATCTGCACAAACGTTCTCTTGTAGCATATGAAATTGCCCACTTAAATTTTGCAGTAGGTGATGTGGATTGGTTCTTTTCTGCTTGACGCGGTCCAATTGAGGTGTTTCGAGAAGAAACGGCAATTTTTTGACACTGCAACCAAAAAATGTCCTTTCTACACCCAGCGCATCAAATGCCAAGTCATCGATTTTACGGTTCTTGAGGAACAACTCTCAAATTAAATTCGATGACTAAATCTTATATTTTTCATTTGATATTCTGAAAGTACGAGGTGAATAAATAATACAGTTATTTACTATGTATTTTCAGAGCAATTAAAATTCTCCGGAGCAAATTACAATAGAAAATTTCAAAATCTACGAGGAATTTAAGACGCGCCTGAATGCCGGAATCAAGATCGCGGTAAAATCCTACGACAGTCAATTTGCTATCTCCTCTCATTCTCCAGAGATAATTGTTAAAAACAAACGCATTTTCATGTGGAATTGTGATTTGTCTACTACGTACTGAAAGCGTGAACAAAATTCAATTCAATTTTAATATGGAGATAAATACGACTTTCTTCCATTTATCATGAACAAAGAGTCGAAAAACATTTAATTAAAGTCGCAGGAACCGTGTTAAACCGCATTTCAGTTCTTCTCATAAATAAATATTCCTTGATACAGAGTCTCACAGGAATCGATTGAACAGGAACCGCGGTAACATGTTACATCCTTCCTTTTGAAATCGATCGAGGCTTATATTTTAGTCGACGGCAGTATAAAATATATCAGGTGACTTGAAATACAACATTTAAAAGGTTAACATGCCTTAGTTAGTGGAGCAATTCACTTAAGTTGGGTTACAACCTAAGGATACAACTATTTTAACCTTGATGTGTTGCACAGTATCACGCTTAATTGAAGGCGTTTTATGTTGGTCCGACTGCGACCTATGAAGAGTAGAATCTCGATGTGTTGACTTATTCAGGCTGTTTGCGTTGCAGACGTCGAATGCGAAATGATGAGTAAGTTTCATGTACTTTAGTGTTACAGGGCATAAAATGACATTTTGGGTTGTGATAAAGTATTCAGCTCAATTTTAAACAAATGTTCAAAGTCTGAATTTTGATTTGCCGAGGAGTTCCTCCTTTAAATCTTGCTTCATTTGAAATGTTAGAAGTTTTAATAATGGTATATAGTGTTACAGAAAGCAGAAGGTTTGAGACGAGCCACAAAAGCTGAAATGTTAGCAAGAGATCCATATGAATCGTCTATTAAGTTACATTTGGGAAAAATTTAAACCATTTTATATTGATGGGAATTTAAACGGTCCCAAGTACTTGGATTTACTTGAAAATGCAATTGAGCCTGCCATAACTGATATTGTAGAAACAGAGGTGAACTTATTACTTGAACCGATTGACGACGAAAATAACTTTAAATATAACTTTATTTAATTAAGTTACTTTTGAATGAAAGAACCGATTTTAATTTTGTTTGCGCCCTTTTTCTTGTCTTTTTAAGTTCTTTTTATCCATGTCTAAAAAAATAGGGGTTGCTATTGGAATTTGTAAAGTTTCCCCCTTCTGGGGGGCTCCAGGGGGGTCCACCATGGAAAGCCCCCCCCCCCCCCGAAAAATTTCCATTTTTGGATGATGAAGAATGCCACAAACCGCGACCTCCTATCTTTTTATGTTGAAAAATTATACCCACTTTTCAGTTATTTTACGGACACCCGGTAGAATATACCAGAACAAAAACGGCACTGCTCAATAGTAAGAACTTAGATGCACAAAAGCTATCGGCAGAATAGGACTTTGTGATTCGTGCTAATGACAAAAGTCTTCCCTGTAAGAAATATATAAATCAATTTGTACAAAATAGGACGTTTGATAAGATACAACAAACAATTTCTAGTTATATGAGGGTCAAAGACCGTCATAAATTGTCAGAAAAGTTAATAGTTATAAAAGGTATCTTCAGTGCGGAACCGAGCGATAATGGATACGACCATGAATTCATAGATATTTTAACACGACTCCAATCCAAATTAGAGGGTTTTACGGATCATGTCAAGTCCTTAAATGCTGATGCAGCAAGTGCAAGTGATTAAATAAAACTTTATGATCTGTACCACGGCGCTATTCTTAAAGCACACAATTGCGCGAGTTTTTTTAACGAGATGGAAGCAGCAATACACGGATGCTGATAAAGTTGGAGGGACGTGCAGTGGACGAATTATGGAAAACCTCCAGCAATCTGGAGATAAGGGTAACACAGTCACAGCGACAACAACAGCAATTTCCCTCCTTCACATGACTGTGAGTTCCGCTTGAATGATGGGAGAGGACTTGTCATCGTCCCCCCTTCAGACAAGATTGTCAACAAACTTGAGAAAATTAATTCTTCTCCAAATAAAGTCGCTTTTAGTGAAACTGCTAAAGACTGAGATTCGAGGAATCCCGGTTTCAAAAAAAAAGAAAAAAAAGGACGTAGATGAAAGCGCATGTTTGCTGCGGGGTCTGGCTTTTCTCTAGCACTTTGTTTATTTACTTCTCGTTGAGTTTGTCAGATCGGTCGGAGGAAGTGACCGATTTTCACCCCCTTGGCGGAGAAAGCGCGGAAGACTTCCGGGAATGTGACAACGCCACATTTTATTCCGCTGCTTTCTTCGTGGCAGATAAGGACAAAATGTTCCTAGAATGTACATTCGTCTGGTCTGATTTGGACGTATTTCTATCAAACGGAGCTATGTGCATTAAGACACGAGCCCTGAGACCCATAAGAATAGGTGCATAACAGGGCTCACGTCATAATGCACATAGTTCCGTTTGATAGAAATACGTCCATTTGTAGTAGAGCACTCCTTGGTGCATTAAGTGATTTCCACCGACATCTAGGCCCAATCTATCAAGAACGTCACGACCAGAGACACCTCTTCTCTGGAAGACTGTATTGACCAAAAAAGGAAAAAAAACACAGGACGAAAAGTACACAATAAATAAACAAGTCTCGAAGCAAGACCGACTACATCGAAAAGCACGAGGAAATAGACGGTCTTCCCTCTCGGTTTGGGTCAATAACACCACCCCTCCTGTGGCGTGGCGTGCTTTGCGATATATCGATTAGTCGGCCATTTAAACCTATGGAAAAGTATCGATAAACAGAGTGTTCGCGGCGAACACCTTAATTATCGATTATTTACCACAGCTTTAAATGGGGAAATATCGATGGATCGCAAAGCACGCCACGCCTTTGCACCCTTCCTCTGCTATAAGTTTCTTTACTCTTTTAAGTGATATCGCTATGCTTCTTTAATCCCAAAGAACCGTTTTATGTTATGAAGGGACGTACGACAAAATTCGGGTTTCTACGCTTATACCTCAGAGAATACGCTGCTCATCACAAGATTTTGTGAGAAAGTCCTCCGTAATGCATTTCTAGGCGATGACTTTAAAAATTCATCGAACAAGTTTCACTCGTTACATTCGCAAATAAGGTTCTGATACATCATCGAAGAATTTTCAAGAAAACTTAATGATACAAACTGCATCGATGTAGAGACATATATTGTATAGTATAACAGAGGGCCGTTGTCCTTTCGACAACTTGACTGGTAGGATACCGTAAGTCAAATGATTAAATTCCTCTATGATAGACCTAGTGTTCGAAGTTAGGGTGAAAATTAAAATTTTACGAATTCACAACTTGGTGCGGTTTATCGTTAGATACGGAGATCGTAAGATATGAACGAGTATGGCTTGAAAAGCATTATGACCTTCATTGATAATGATAAACGCATCCCATCCCTGCATCCATGTCATTATCTGCATCACTCCCTTCTGTATAGACAATAGCAACTTGCTCGATAACATTGCCAATTTAATTAAAGTTCGGTAATCTGTACCAAATATGATAGCCAAACCCCAAGACCACTACAAGAAAATATACGATCAAAGACGAAAATCTATCACTTTTCAACCCAATGACCTTGTTTTAGTCACCTTAGTACCAAAGAGATCAAAACTAGAGCCTCTGTATAAAGGTCCTTATAAGGTAATTCGAAAATTGTCCGAACTTAATTATCTCATTGAATTACTCATTCGGAACAAACTCTCACAAGAGATACTTCATGTTTCACGTCTGAAATCATACCCAAAACAGACACTGCCACCTTTGGCGTCATTCCAGAGAAAACATTCTCTAACATTCTAGTTTTGCATTATATCGGTACCCAATGCATTTGTTGAGCGTTAGCGCTGTCACACTAAACTAATCAAAACTCAATCAACTGCAAAATCGCACACTGAAAGCGTTACTGGCCACTGAATTTGCTGTCATGTTCGAGGGTTGGTCTCTTATCTTCTTAATACGAGTAATGTTGAAGATTAATTTGCAAAGAGAAAGGATTTAATTTAAAACTAAGGTGACAATTTATTTCTATATCTAGAGTACATTTATAAAACAGTGACTACACTAACCAACGAGGTGGGATAACAATTTTAGATGATAACGTTACCACCAA